TAAAAAGTTAGGATTTCTGCTTTACTTTAATATTTTCTTGGTTTTGATGCGTTCTTAATCTGGTCTTTAAATAAAAACTTGTTATACGTTATGAAAAACTGAACATTTTGCATCATTAATCTTGTTAAACACGACATCATAACAATTATTGCAGGACAATTTCAAATTCTGCTCCATTTTCCAGCCTTTCTGTGCAAGTCAGACTAGTTCTCTAAGGAAGAGCTTTGTTCAAATATACTCATCTTTCATGCATATTAAAATTCTCAAACAGAAGCCCATGGGGAGGGGTGTGTTTATGCGTTTGCTGACATTATGAGGGCAGAAGAGCTTTTCCCACCATCATATCTCAGTGATATCTGACAGCTGCTGATCAAATAGATGTGTGCTCCTCCCAGAGGGAGCCGAGCAGAGAAATTAGACGGACTGGAAGTCGGTGGAGAAACCAAACAGTATGAAAATGAAATCTCCTGTTTTCATTCTTCATATTTTCCCAAAGCATTTAGAGCCACAAGACGTTGCTTAATATGATTTTGCCATCATTTTTATTATTCTGAGGGCAGTAATCTCTCATTTACAGACATTAAAAAGCTTTTATTTCACAAATTTACACCACAATATTTAGTTTTTGAATAAAGAGAAACATTTTTTCTATTGCACTTCCCTTCAGGTGGGACTCTGCAGCTGTAAGGTTTTACATACAGGTTCACACATGCTCAGTAAAACAGGAGGCTGTTTGTTCAGCAGAATTGAAGTCATCATGGCACTCAGCTTGGCAAATATCAGATGAAGTGTTTTTTTTTGTTTGACATCGATTTTATGTGAATGTTTTCCTGCTGCAGGGTGCAGCCTGCAGGCGTTTGGTTCTGTTATTTTTCTCCGTTTTCTAACCAGATGATCATTGAGTGCAGCAGAAAAGCAGGCTGTGATTGTGATCAAAACAAACGCAAACCTTTGGATTACTTTAACGATGACATTTACAGGATGTTTTCAGGTTTAAAAGGCATCAACCAATCTGAAAAAGATCAAAATAGACCAGATTTTCCTGTGATTAGCACCAATCAATGGTCAATATCTCAAATAAAATGTTCATTCGGCATCAATCAGCAGCATGTTCTGTTGTGCAGCTTGTTGAATTTCATAAATAAAAATGTATTAAAGGTTATTAATACATTTTGTGATGCATGAAAGTGGGTAGTTTTGGATTACACTCAGATTAAGCTGGATCTGGGTTGATTGATGCATTTCTTGAGACACTGAGCATTATTAGAACATTTAATTAAAATAAATCTGTTTTATTGAGCCAAAAAACACAGAAAAGGCATCAATCAATGTGAAAAATACCAAAATCGACCAGTTTTTCCTGCTGGTTTATCAATGGTCAATTGATCAATGGTCAATGTGTGAAATAAAATGTTCATTCAGCAACAATCAACAGCATGTAGACGTATGCACCTCATTGAGTTTGATAAATAAATAACATTAGAGTTCCCACTATTTTTAAAGCACAATTTAAAAAAATAAATGTTCATCTGAGCTGATGAATCCTGTTAGTGTGGAGGAACAGACTGATTGATGACAGATCTTTGTTTGAACATTTAATTAAAATAAACCGCAGAAAGTCACAGAATGTTCCTGATCTGGGCTGATAACCGGAACCAGAACCGGAACCAGAACCAGAACCGGAACCGGAACCATAACCGGAACCGGAACCGGAACCAGAACCAGAACCAGAACCGGAACCGGAACCGGAACCGGAACCGGAACCGGAACCAGAACCAGAACCAAAACCGGAACCGGAACCGGAACCGGAACCAGAACCGGAACCGTTCCCTTCTGATCCATATTCACACACTGATGAAAATAGTGACTCATTCCAGAAAAGCAACTTTCAGTCCCATTATCTTCTTTAAAATCTGCTCAAATTCATGATAGATCAAAATAGATTATCCTACATTTTATTATACGGCTGCAAATTATAAGGATTTTTTTTTCCTCTTTGTGATTCACATTATATTTCTATTCCTCTTGTAACTAAACCTGTACGTGGCTCCTTTGCCATTCCATCCCTTTGTAGTCTTGGAAATGTGCTGCACATTTTCATCCACAAACCACAAAGTAATTATTTTATGTTGCACACGTTTACTGTGTTGTGGAAATATGATAATATGACTCCAACAAAGGTAGCAGGAGGTTTCATAGGGGTCATAATGTGTCATTTTTTCCAGTCCCTTCCTTCATAATGTATCCGCCTGCTGCCATTTCCTCCCTTCCTTCTCCCATTTCATAAACAGTTTCATATCCATGTTCCTCAAACACTCGGAATGAGTTTATTCTTGGCTGTAGTTTATTATTTTCATTATTTAAAGTGATAAAAGGTTATAAAATTGGCAAAATTCCTTGTGTAAGTTAATCGTTTGTCAATTCTTCTCCATTCTACGGAAGAGAATTAGGGCCACTGGAAAAAACAAATCTGATTTAAATCTCAGAATTCTGACAGTTTTTCTCAGAAGTCTGACTTTAATCTTCTGAAGCCAAAAGTCAAAATTCTATTTAAAAAAAATCTAAATTCCACACCAAAATTTGGAGGAAAAAGTCAAAATCTTTAGATTAAAGTCAAAATTCTGAGATTTAAGTCAAACTTCTAGAATTCTGAGAAAAATGTAAAAATTCTAAGAAAAAACATCAAAATTATGACAAAAAAGTCAAAATTTTGAGGTTAAAATCAGAACTTTGAGATCAATTTTGTCAGAATTCTGAGAACAATTTCAAAATTCTGAGGAAAAAAGTCGAAATTCTGAGAAAGAAAATCAAAATCCTGACATAAAAGTCTAAATTTTTTGATGAAAGTCAAAATTTTAAATTAAACTCAGAATTCTGAGATTAAGGTCCAAATTCAACATCTAAATGCTGAGAAAACAGTCAATTCCTTAATTAGTTCCCCTGATCCTCTTTCTTGCTATTCCCAATATTTTAATATATTATATGACCCTTTATGACCTCAAGTGACTTCCTGCTTGTAGATATTTTTACTGCATTCATGCATTTCCACACAATAATAAACAACAAAATAAATAAATAAATTCTGTACCAGAAAGAAAACAATTGAGGTCTGAAATGGCAAAATGGTGAAATAATCAGCAAATAATCAAAATAAATAGAACTGGATTGGCCGTATGGCTTTTTGAATGACGTGTTAAATCCATGAATCATCAAAATATTGAATTACTCCGAAAAATAAACGTATCCGTCATGCCATGTCAGTTTACAGGTATGAAACGAAACAGTTAGGACGAAATGACAAGAAAGGTTTTGTGTTTTATACATATATAAAACAAGCATTTAGTTTGGAGGATCAGTTCAGGACCTGCAGCATCTGAAGCGCACTAGTTTCTGGAAAGCCTTCTTGAAATCCTCGTTGGACATGGTGTAAATGATCGGGTTAATCAGAGAGTTCAGGTATCCCAGCCAGGTGAAGAAGTCGAACAGCTCGGGGTTCAAACATGTCTCACATGTGGCCACCAGCAGCGTGTAAATGAAAAACGGAAGCCAGCAGACGATGTACGCGCCGAGGATGATCCCCAGAGTCTTGGTCGCTTTTCTTTCCCTGGCCGCGGAGATGCGCTTTTTCTCCAAAAGCGCGTCGGACACCGTGACTTTCACCTGGTTCTCGCTGGTCGACGACCCGGTGTCGCTGGACGGAGTGTCGTGCCTCGCGTACTGCAGCGAAGTCGTGGACGCCACGGATCCGGGAGAGTTGGTGACCAGGTGCGCAGAGGTCAGTCTCTTCCCGACCTTTTTTGGAGACTGTTTCAGAATGCGCTTCCGGGCCTCCACGTAAATCCTCCCGTACAGCACGATGAGCAGCAGGGTGGGGATGTAAAACGCCCCGAAGGTGGAGTAGATGGTGTAAAAGATGTGGTCCGTGTTGACGCTGCAGCTGGTCAGCTCCTCCGCCTTGACCTGCCTCCAGAAGAGAGGCGGCAGGGAGATGGAGATGGCGATGACCCAGGCGGTGGCCACCATCCCGGCCGCGCGTCCCGGCGTGCGCTTCTTGGAGTACTCCACCGCATCCGTGATGGCCCAGTACCTATCCAGCGCAATTACGCACAGATGCAGGATGGACGCGGTGCAGCAGGTTATGTCGGAGGAGAGCCAGATGTCGCAGACGATCTGGCCGAGCGTCCAGCTGTGGATGACCGTGTACAGGACGCAGATGGGCATCACCAGGATGGACACCAGGAGGTCGGTGACCGCCAGCGACGCGATCAGAAAGTTCGCCGGAGTTTGCAGCTTCTTCGACTGGGAAATGGTTGCGATGACGAAGGCGTTGGAGAGCGTGGTGGCGAGCGTGATGAGCGACAGGACGGCCGCCAGAGAGATCTGATAGGCGAGGCTCTCTGCGCTCTCAGGTAGGAGAGAAATGAAGCTGTCATTGGAGGCGTTCACCGGCTGAGTCGGTTCCAAAAGCTCCATCACTTCTTCCACTTTTACTTCACCCACTGATGCGGCCATCCGGTCAGAGAAACATAGAAACTCGTCTTCATTGTTTCTTTTTTATTCGTATTCGGCTGGAAAAATGTAGAACCAGAAGTCCATACATCTTTTCCATTATTAATTAAGTAATTAATTATTATTATTATATATAGTTTTTAATCCACAAAGTCAATTTCTAACTGCGATCGCGCTGAAAGAGACAGAAAATGTTGGAGATTAAATGTCGATCCGGATGTTTTAACATCTGGGAGGAAGTCGCAGTCGATCCGCATGAAGGCCAGATGTTTTCCAGAGTTGTGGCTCCTTGGGCCCCTTGTGGCTGAATGGAGATCCGAGCTGATGACTCGTTTTATACTCTGACATCAAACAAGCGCAACTGATCACAACCTGTTTCTCTCTCTCTCTGGAGGAGAAGGATCTCCGCTGGGTCATAGCGCCCACTGTTTCCATCTGGATGCAGTTCACCAGTCAAGAAAATAACATTCCTCTGACATGAGTTCTTCAGCATATTTGAATGTTCAGGAGATAGAAGAAAGGAGGAGCACATTTCCGCCAAAAATATTATATTAACATTCTAGGAATATTTCTGAGTTTGAACAGGTGATAATTTTCTATAAAATGTTTAAATTTTGGGATTAAACTCAGAAATTTTATTAGAAAAAACAAGGAGATGTCTGAGCTAGACAAGTCGAACATTTTCTAAAGAAAACTCAGAAATGTTGAGATTAATCTCAGAAATTTTATAGAAAAAACGGTCTGAGTTTCAAAAGTTATAATATGTTAGAAACAAAAATTCATGTTATTTTGATTAATCTTAAAAAAGTGTAAATTTCTAGAAAGATCTTAGAAATTTCTGATCTTGAAAAGTTGACAATTTGCACCAAAAGCCTAAGAAATTTTAAGCCTTATCTCTGAAATTTCTAGAAAAAAAACTGGAAATTTCTGAGCTTGAAAAGTCAAAAATATGCTAAAAAAAAGTCAGAGAGTTTTAGATTAACCAAAGAAATATTCTAGAAAAAACATGGATAGAGTATTTCTGAGCAAGATATGTAGAACATTTTCCAGAAAAATCTGAAATTTTGAGATTTTCTAGAAAAAAATTAATGTACAAATCTTCAAAAGTCAAAAAACTGCTAGAAAAAAAATCTCAGAATTTCTTTTTTTAAATTATTATTAATCGTGAAAATCCAAGAAAGTTCCAGAAAATACTAGGAGATTTCAATGGTTGAAAAGTTGAACATTTGCACCAGAAATTTTTAGACTGATCTCAGAAATTTCTTGAAAAACCTGGAAAATTTTTGAGTTTGAAAAGAAAAATTTGCAGTGCAGCTTCTATATCTGCACAAGAAAAATGTGTCAATATTATATTTCTGCCATTTTTACTCATATAATTGATGATTCATTTGTTTGATTATTTAGCACATAAATGTGATTAGAAGCCACATCTGTGCATCGATCCAGTCTGAAAGTTTAATTCCAGTTGTTTCTTACACAATGAGATGAAAAGTGACATTATTTTATTATTTTACAAAGTCGGGGATTTACATCCACTCTTCAACAACAGTAGTGTTTACATTTCAGTTTCTGGCCTTTATTTGCTCTTTTTCTGGGTAAGACTTTGTTTTATTGCAGTGTGGAATGAAACATTCACAGCTGCTGATCTGTTGCCAGTGTTGGCACGTCGGATGTGTGAAAGGAGCCGTCATTAACGTTGGCACTGGGTCACCAGCAGAAACACACCAGGCTGTGAACCTCCTGCTCTGATCAGCGCTCACATCGAGGCGTAACCAGATTCTCTTCCACCAACACTAAAACATCCTTCTTTTAATTAATCCTTTTGTTGCTACTGAGTGACTATAGATGAATATTTCACAATTATGTATAAACAGATGCTAAATAATCAAACTACGACAAGTTTTAATGTCTTTTTGGGGTTTATGTAACAGCTTTAATGCTCATGCATGAGTTACGCGGCGGCTGATGTTCTGTGTCAAAGTTTTGCAGAGAGCAACACCAAACCTTCCTGTAAGTTCATGATTGTACTCCTCGGCTGAGCCTGAGCGTCTGGCTCATCCGATGCACGCTCACTGACACACACTGACATGCCTGCTACGTTTTGTTTTCTGCTGCAGACACGAGTCCATCACAGCAGAGGACAAAACACAATAAATACACAAAAAAACTCAAAATTACAGGAAAAACTCCCACGGCTGCAAATAACAATAGCACTGATGCTTTCATCTTTATGTTTGTTTGACTAGAAAAAAATATATTTTAGTTCCCACTGGTGGAAGAAGGGGCAGGTTGATGGATTTTTTTTACATTATCAAGGAAACTTGGATACATGTCTATTAAATGGCAGTTCTTTTTTTTTTTTTACATCTTTTTCGATTGATTGATTGATTGATTGATTGATTGATTGATTGATTGATTGATTGATTGATTGATTGATTGATTGGATGTTACTACTGGTGGAAATGACAAAGAAGACAACAGGAAGTAGTCAGAGGATGTTTTTAATGACTTATCGGGTGAACAATCAGATCTTACCCAATCTTGATTTTAATTACATTTCTTATTTAATGGAAACAGTAATTGCGAAATTGTGTTTTTTAAACATTAGCAGGAATATTTACAAAGTTTTGCAGACATTTGTAATGGAAATGCAACCAATGACAATGTGATTGTGTTTCATACTCTCAAGATTTGTAGGCTATGATTCTCTGAAATGTAATTATATTTAAAATATTTATAGTTGAAGGAAATACAAGTGGCTTCTGTGGTCGTTTTTTGATTGAAAAGTTTCAGTGTGACCCACTTTGACAGCAGCAGCAGCAGCATGTGCCACTTTCAGAGGCTGTTGTGTTATCTGCCCTCATCTCCAAACACAGGGCAGAGCAGCGCGGCGCAGTAGACAGAGACCTCCAGTCTTACTCTGACCCCAAACTCCTATTTTTAGTCATTTAATAAGGGATCCAGAGAGCCTTTACATTTATAGTGTGCACTACATGAAGCTGCCGGTTCACATCATCAGTAAGAATCATTCAAAAATGTGAGAACTTTGGCGCTAGTTTTTGTTCCAAAGCCTTTTGGGTTTCGGTGACATACTGTTTTCTGATTGGGTTAGAACAAAGGTCAAGTTTTACCTGAGGTATTTCCTAAAGAGCTAAGATATGTTGGAAGATACAAATAGTTTGTCAGATTAAAAGTACATTTGAAAATAATAACCTTTAAGCAGCTAAACGACATGACAAACTCAGAAGAAAATGCTAATGTCCTAATAGCAGAGCTAATTTTTCATCTAGCATTTCAGCTAATTTTGAAAATATTTTCATATCATTTCATTCATCAATTAAATTGGTTCTCAAAGGTTTTTATTTGAATTAATGTCATCGTTTAAGGATTAGCTCCCAGTAGCGCTTTTGCTAACTTTCAAAATGTTTAGCATACTTAGCTATTCCTAAACACGAGCGTAATAATTTACCTGGTTGTTTTTGTAAACTTTCAGTTGGATAAAATTTGATGACTTAGCTTTGGTATTGGCTGTTAGAAATTCTTCAAGTAGTTCATATTTATGCTTTTGTTTTGAAGTCACTGAAGAATGTAGTTTTTGGAAAAAACTTTATTTCAAACAAAACACATACAGGAACAAAATAACATAAAAACATAGATATTATATTTAAGGTTATCATAAAACGTGTAAATGTCAAAATTAAATTGGTTCTCAGGGGGTTTGTTTAAATTAAAGTTAGTGGTTTAGGATTAGCCTCCGCTAGCTCTTTTGCTAACTTTGAAAATATTAGTATAATTAGCTTTCCCTATTCTAAACCAATCATTTACTTGGTTGTCTTTTTAACTTTTAGTTGTCTTAAGTTTGATGTCTATGTTGAAGTTTTGGAATTGACTGGGAAATTATTTGACTTGAAGTTAGCATTTCAGGATTAGCTTCAGCTAAATACAGTGCTGGTGTAGACCTTTAGCATTAGCAGAGCTAATGTTTATGATAGCACTACTAGGTTAGCGCAACTAATATTTTAGTTGGCGGTGCCCACTACTGTTAAAGATAATCAAATAGTTTACTGTCATGCTGTGTGCATTTGAGGAGGAGATAAGACTGCCACTAAAAAACTGCATTTCAAAGGTTTACATCTGAGGGAGGAGACTGACTATCAAGGACTCAAGGATGTGAAAACCAAAAGAGGAAAAGCCTGACAATAATCCAAGGGAAATAAATGCAAATGCACAAGAAACATGGGAATAAACTAAAATAAACTAAAAAAAAAAAAACTAAACATAAACGAATGGGACAGTCTGGCAACACATTAGTAACAATAATGAAACGGAGAAATAAATAGAATACTGCAAAACATAGAGCAGAAAAAAATCACATGGAAATTATGAAAACACAAAGATAAAAGGAATTCAACCCCAAACACTGCAGGGTCCTGACGATTATGACAGTTTAAAAAATCCCTGTACCAACAGATGGTAAATTATATATTTTTGAATAATCCAGACTGATGGAGGAACAGCAATCTCAGCAGATGGAAAATAACACAAAAAAACAATGTCATGTACATACTGTACCATTAACTGTGTGGGTGAGTGTCTGCAGAGAAGCCTGTCTGTGTTTTCCTTCTGCACAATGGATAAGATTATTACCTTTATGTATTAGTTTTATTCTGCTGCTGCAACTAATGGTCATTATTTTAGTAACTGATTAATCTAAGGATTATTCTGATGATTAATCTGATAAAAAAAATGGACACATTCTACAGATTTGTTTTATTTAACTACATAAGCCTAAACAAAACATTTCCATTTTTATAAGAAAATAAACATACACAGTTTGTTTATTGCATTTTATTGTTTAAATACATTAACATACTGTTCCTCTAGTGAATTTGAAGCAGGTGGAGCTAAAGCTAGGCTACCTGAGGAGTTTGGGGTAAAATATATTTACTGACGAAGATGTTAGTTTTTATCCTAAATGCAAAATTAGTAATGATTTGTTGGTTGAAGAAAGGTGAGATAGACGCAGTGGATCTAGGTAGTAGAGAAAACGATGGTTTAATGAGGAATATTTTTTTTCCTCCACACACAAACTGTTTATGTCGGCTGTTAGCAAATTATGCTAGTCCACAAAATGGAGAGCAAAAGTTTTTAGAAAACACAAGTCAGTTGTTCAGCAATAATTTAATACTTTTTTAAAAATAGTATCATCTGTCAAGGATTTATTACCTGACTGATGTGAATATAATCACAAAACTTTGATCTTTTTGAATTCTCCAACTAAAAATTAACCAAAGCATGAAAAAACTAAAACTACA